ATGGCAAAATTAACGTCTGACATATTTTTTATAGTGTTTTGTTAGAAAATAGAATACTTTCAAATGTCGTACAAATGGGTTCATCATGAAAGTGTGAAAAATCTTTTCTCGGGTACTTCTGCTATTAAATTAAAGAATATTTCGTTGCCAAAGTTGAAACATATTTTTTGGTATCGAACTTTACGCCACTTGAAAGACTTGAAGAATCGAGCAAATATTATTTTGAACTTTCTTAATAAAATACGCAACTACCACCGTGCGGAAAAGTTCGTCTTACTCCCGTAAGACTCTTTATTTGTATGATAAAAATAACCTGTGCAAAGTTTCAGCTCATTACGATATCATACAGGCATGGCTTCCATACAAAAATCCAATTTTTTTGAAATTTTTGTATGAAAAGTGTGTCGAAAGTTATTTGTATCGCATAACTAACGTCATATTCGGTTTTCTCTATATTTTAGAGTGTTTAAGTATACATTAAATATCACTTTTGGAAGAAAAATTGAATTTTTCCCATGGATGGACATGGGCATCACACCAGACACGACACTTTACCCTGTCAACCAAAGTCGCTCAAAATCTAATGGTTTCTATTCCTCGGCACCCCCAATCATCCTGTGAAGTCAGATTTTGAATTACTTTTCTTGTTTGAAAGTTATCGTGTTAACAAATTTTTGCGTACAGCGTACAGCGTACAGGGTACCACACACATACATTCGGACATCGAAAAAACGCTAGATTCGTGTTTCCTGGCTCCTAAAACACCCAGAAAACATGCTTTTGAGGGTGTTAATTTTTCGACCGATTCCAATACTTTACCTTACACACTAGGTGTGTGCGGAAAAGTAATATATACTTTTTTTATAAAAATATTCTTGAAATACATAAAATTGACGGTATTGAATACAACACTTATAAAGAGGTTGTTATGACTTTTACAGGTGCCTTGTTTTTGAAAGATTTTTTTTTGCAGCAATCAAATCACAGTGAAAACTTGTGAATCTTATTTTCTCACCAAAATACATAATCTGGCCAACTTTGAGGAAATTTCATTCATTACAACATCAAACATGCGTGGTACCATACAAAAATCCAATTTTTGTGATTTTTTCATGAAAAAAGTGTCGAATATTAATTGTATATATATTATTTGTATTACAAAATTGAGGCCAGAATCGGTTTTCTCGTGCCAAAAACACCCCGGGGGACCATTTTTTGTTGAATTTTCAAAGTGCTCAAAATTCATCAAAATTCATAAAAATTTGATTTTTTTAAGAAACCGCCTGGAGCCGCGCATCACCAAAAATCATTTTTTTTCGAAATCGATGTTATAGTCATGTTTCTATGACCTTCCTACAGAGGTTATAGGGGTACGATTTTTGATGCTTGAAAAAATGTCAAAATCGAACCACTCTAATGCACACAAAACATCTAAAATTATTCTAATCATCATTATTTTGACCATTCAGCCGATAAGAACATGGCACGTGTTTGCTTTTGCTTACGCCCAAAACAGTGAACTGCTTAAAGTGAGTCGATGGTGATCTCATCATATTCAAATATAGAACATTAGATTAAATGCGGGATGTGCTTGTGGAAATTTCCACTCGCATTTTTAATTGAACCAATTAAAGCTTTTGATTAGTTTTTGATTTTCTTGATAAATTTCGATGTATGAAATTCCCTTTTAACTACCGGAATTTTGACTTATGAAAACTTGGTAATATGGGTAATAATGCTCGATCTTCGAAGGTCGATTCAGTTGAATGCATTTTAACTGAATTTTTCAAATTGAAGGGAAAATAAAAAGTCCCACTGAGGCGGTCAACTTCACTCAGAACTATTACCAGCACAATTCCACAATTTAAGTTGACTCATTGCATGTAGCAAAGGCATACGAGTCACAAGCAAGCCGCCTGGAGGGAAAAACACCTCTCTTACTTACTGTGTGCATTTGCGGTGTAATTATCATCGATTTGTGCCCGAATAAATTCAATACTTAAAGGTGAGTGTTTTGAATTTTCATGACCAATGCTTCTACGATAGGGAGTAGAGATTATGTAAGATCTTTTTTGCACCCATTGGATTGAAAAATACTTGAAATTTATAGTGATCAATTGGTTTTTTCGTTTCTTTCATTTCTTCAATCGTGATTAATCCAAATTTCAAACAGATCTTTTCTTTTCCGATCAATTTTCTTTCTGGAATATTTGATGACGTCAAATTAGAGGCTTCTCCGTGTTCTGTTAGTTTCATTACATTCCGCTAGTGTAATAAGAACAATAATTTCATAGCGAAAATATTGGCATCACAAATTTCAGTGTATATGGTTTTATTGTCAAGGGCTATAACAAGTTGCCAATGACTTTGACTGTGTTACGTCCATTTTAAATTGATAGTCATTCCTATAAACACTATTGTGTTTTGAGCACTGGATAAGTGACTGAACGGAAAGAGAATTCACTGGCATTTGAAGAGTCTAAAAATCAATTTACGGCATTAAATTATAAAGAAAGTTGTGGGGCCACATTTTTTAAAATTCGCTTTTAATGTTTTTGTTGTTGCCAGACGTGCCGGTGGTGACGTAATCAACGCGGGACTGTGTTATGTGTATTAACTATTGACGTTCATTCATACAAATAATAAATTTTACTTTTATTTTATCTTTCAGGCGTAGTTGAACAAAAACACAATGAATCCATATGTACTAAAAGGTACATTAGGTGGAAAGAGCAAACGCAGGTGCAAGTGCAAGCATGCAGCATCGAAGGTTACAATCAAGGAAGAAGTCGTTGTCAAAGAAGAGCCAAGAGACGATGTCAGAATGATTCATTACTTGCCTCCATCACCAATACCGATGGATGTGAATGGCACAAAGACGGTAATAGAAGTGGTGATCATCGACATCGTCTTAATAGCAAAGGGCAACGTGGACGTAATTCGAAAGCAAAGAAGCAAAAAGGAGCCGAGAAGCCTAAGAATCACAAATGTCATGTGTGTAGTTATGCCACATCACACAAAGGATATCTTAATTTGCACCTCCGAATCCACACAGGCGAAAAGCCTTTTGAATGCGAAATATGTGCAAAGGCTTTTACACACAAGCAAACTTTGAAAGTCACAAGAAAGTCCATGCCACCGAATTTCCATTCCATTGTCCAAAATGTCGCCGAAGATTCAACCAAGAAGTAGAAAAGATCAAGCATGAAAATCAATGCCAACAACGTCAATACGAATGCATTGTATGCGAATACACCACTGATTTGTTGTCAAATCTCAAGCGACACATGGCAATCCACAATGATGAGAGGCCATTCGAATGCCCAGTTTGTTTAAAAACATTTGAATTCAAAATTGGCTTTATTGTCATTTGCACACTCACACCGAAGAATTGCCCTTTTCCTGCTCAAAATGTGGACTCCGATCTACAATCGAAATCGATAAACAATCGCATGAGGATCGATGCAACCGTTGACGATACGAATGTCATATTTGCCCATTTAAATGTTTCAACAAAAGTGATTTGAAATACCACATGCAATCAAAGCACACAGGCGAAAAACAATTTCAATGCAAAGTGTGTGACAAGAAGTTTGTTTTGAAAGGTTGTCTAAAGAGACATTTGATAATTCATGCTAAACCGCGCCCAATTCGATGCATCAAATGCTGTCGTCGATTTGCAAACGAAGGCGATAAGAATGCACATGAACAATACTGCAATCGACGCCACTATGAATGTTACATGTGCCAAGTTTCATTGCACCTATCTATGCAACTACGAGGTCACATGCGAAATCATCATACCGGTGACAAACCTTTTGCGTGCAAATGGTATGATTCCCGATTTTCACTACAAGGCAACGCTAATCTACACATGAAGGAAGTTCATCGTCAAAACAAATGAAGAACGGATAAATCCGATCAATGCGTTACATTCTACATTAATGGATTACAACAACAGCTATCCATCGTTTATTCAACTTCTTTTTATTTCAAAGTACTTTCTCCCTTCAATAAAATTAATTATCAGTTCCAAAACATTATTATCATCAACTGAATTGAATCAAAACTGTCATAAATTCAAATAAAATGCGTTGAATAATTCCATATAAAGTGATTTTCATTTCCATCTTTTGCAATTTTCATTTTTTGTTTCCATTGAAATACGTTGAAATAAAAGGAAAAAGTTTGAATTAAAGTTAATTAAAATCCCATTGTTTAATATTCATATGTATGCCAACTTCATTCTGGTACGTTAAACTACCAACACATACATTGCTATTGCTGCCATTGTCCTCGTTGCCAACTTCACAAATTGAACTTATGCATCCAGAGCACTGTGCAATAAAAGCATAGCAGACAGAAGGAGACGGCCATTGGACAGAGTGACACGTAATTGCACTCTATTTGTGCCCAAAAATATTGAATATTTCAAAGGTGAGTGTTAACCATTACTTTCGAGTGAGAATTAGACATTTCTAGAATAATTAAAAATCCAAACCAGTAAATTAACACAACATTTTCTTCATCTCGATTGCTCATTCTCAATTTTTGGAATAATAATAAATATTCTATTTTTTGCATTTTCATATTAATTCAGTAGAGGAGAGATTATCTCGATTTTCAATGCAGTTTGGTGTTTCTGGGAATTGTCTAGTTTTTTCCAGAACAATCTTGGTCACGGAAATTTTCCATGACGTCGCGGCCACGTTCTATAGCGTGCCGCTTGCTTGACATTTTCTCGGTCAATTTTTTGTCTTTATGGTGTTGCAACTGATATGTGTATGCATTAAATTATTAATGCACACATTTTGTTCACAACAAAACCATATTTATTCATTTTAAGTATATTTTTCGTGAAGTTCTTGATACTTTTTGTACACACATGAATATTGAAAAATGAATAAACGAAGTTCTTTGTATTGTTGTGCAATATCTGATTTTGTAACAGATTTTTCCATTTCAAAACTAATAAATTTATTATTTATAGAAAGATCACCATGGTGTTCAATTCAGATCCAGGTGAAGGTACCTCAGATGGTAGAGTTAAACGCAAGCGAAAACAAAAGCCAAGCGGCTCAAAGACCAAAATCAAAATTGAAAACGATGTCAAAGTTGAACCAAGAGATGACGCATATTTGGTTCAGTGCTCGCCACCACCATCGCCAATCGAAGCAAGTGGCAAAATTAAATCAGAGAGCGAGAGCGATGACGAACTGCATTTGAAAAGCGACCCTTATTATGTGAAAACAGAAATCAAGACCGAGGAAGAAGACGAATGTTCGAAGAAGAAATGTGATGCGCCACCAGGTGGAAACTCAAATAACAATGAAAGCGATGATCACGATGGTACGAATGGAGCCAGCTCAAGACAAAACCTAAATGGTAACGGAGAACAGCATCGAAGTAAGCCGAAAGCAACAAAGAAAAGAGGAACGAATAAAAATGACAACGCAAATGTCCGGATTGACCCAGCCGAAGCAAAAGATGAAAAGAAACACAAATGTAATTTATGCAGTTATGCTGCATCGTATAAATATATGCTCATGAGGCATATGCGAACTCACACAGGTGAAAAGCCTTTTGAATGCGAAATATGTGCAAAGTCTTTTACACAAATGTATCATTTGAATAGACACAAGAAAGTCCATGCCACCGAATTTCCATTTCATTGTCCAAAGTGTCGCCGAGGATTCAAACAAGAAGTTGAAAAGATCGAGCACGAAAATCAATGCCAACAACGTCAATACGAATGTATTGTATGCAACTACACCACTGATTTGTTGTCAAGTCTCAAGCAACACATGGCAATCCACAATGATGAGAGGCCATTCGAATGCCCAGTTTGTTTAAAAACATTTAAATTCACATTTGGGCTTTATCGTCATTTGCACACTCACACCGAAGAATTGCCCTTTTCCTGCTCAAAATGTGGACTCCGATCTACTATCGAAATCGATAAACAATCGCATGGGGATCGATGCAACCGTCGACGATACGAATGTCATATTTGCCCATTCAAATGTTTCAGCAAAAGTGATTTGAAATACCACATGCAATCAAAGCACACAGGCGAAAAACAATTTCAATGCAAAGTGTGTGACAAGAAGTTTGTTTTGAAAGGTTGTCTAAAGAGACATTTGATAACTCATACCGGTGAGAAACCATTCGCATGCGAATGGTGCAACGCACGGTTTTCTCAGATCTGTAGCGCAAATCGCCACATGAAGAATGTTCATCGTCAGTAGTAGATATAAACCAAAAATTATCTATAAAATGAAGCTTCATTATCCAGCAATCACCTGATTATACATGCTTTTTTCCTTCAATTCCAACACGCCTTATTCCGAAAGAGTCATTATCGAAATCTCATGCATTAAATCATTTTTTCGTTTTATTTGAGAACAAAAATATGTTGTTATAACTGAATGTGGATTTTGAAATAAATGAAGTGATTCGCAAACAAATTAGTCTAACTTTTATTGTTTTCTTTCGTTAAAAATACAATGCAAGATTAATAAGTATTAAGTAAGGTTTGTACCATTGCAATCTATCTGATCTATATTCTCCATTGCTAAAAATAGAATTTTCAAGGTCTAAATCATTGAGTCCAACCCTAACTCAGAACCTCAAACCTCTTTATCATTTTTGCGAGTTGTTCTGGCCTGACAAATTATTTAAAGGTGTTTTACATATTTTGGTGTATGAGAGATCCGGTGGTGACATTAAGATACTTCTGTATGGTTCCTCTTTCACAAAAGCTCTCAATCGTGGAATTCTCTTCAATGTATCATATTTTAATGGGCTTCAATTCAGTCCGCTCGAATAAAATAGCTTACAAGAAATTGGAGATATTCGCTTTATTACTTTTCCGCACACTTAGTGTTGGAAAGGTATTTTAAGGTTTCATTTGATGAACATTTCGGCGGACCTCATAAATTATTTGAGAATAATCTAATATTTTCGAATTTATTTTCAGTTTTTTTGTACAGTGTACACGTTGCAACCGATTTGAGATCGATCAACTACATCATTCTTAATTTATTTCTGTAAACACTCAGTATAATGATATGACAATTTTGCTGGCAATTCTGTATCACATTTTTTTGAATTACAAAGCTCCTTTTCATAGAGTAAAAAAAAAAACATTTTTTGGGTGTGTTTTTAGCGCTTGTTTGTTTGAATTTGATATATTAATTATTCTTGTTACTAAATTGATTGACGTCATAGATGTTTTCACGAATTTATTTCTAATATTAAATTTATCATACATTAAAAGATTTTAAACGAATTGTGTTTTGACATATGTTTTCAAAAGAATTAAGAAATACCAGAAAATATCAAAATTTAAAAGAAAACAACTCAAAAAATATTCTCTATATAAATCATTCGTTCCATATTGCTGCTTATCAGAAACTAACTGGAGTTCACTACTCAAAGTAATCCTTTAAAAGATACAATTTTTAAGTGAAAAAAAAATGTTGGCCGGAAAATATGCCATTTTCATATTCATCGTACTTTTTGTGTCTGATATAATTGAAGCAGCACCCAAAAGTGATAAAGGCAAAAGTGTTGCGAGTAGTTCAGGCGATAAAGTCTATGCCAGATTTAATGCATCAAACGTCCAAGGTACTGCAAATGTTGAATATCAAATTCGAAGCATACCTAGCACACGATTTCCAGAGGCATTATATTTGAGACAGACATTTCTTGCAGACGAAACAATATCTCAATATTGGCGTATGAATTTGATTCAAGTGATTTTCTCATATGAAGTAATAATAATAAAATTTGAAAAACTATATGTGATTAGGTCTCACTTTTACTGACGATGAAATTCAAAAATATAGACAGCATTGGCAATATCTTTTGAACCAGGGTATGTCGTTGGCCTGTTTTGATAACGAAGATAACATGGTGGGCTTGGCAATATTTTATATTGCAACGAAACAGGGTTCGAAGGGCAAAAGAGGAGTGGAAACGGTAAGAAAAATATTCAAAATCAATATAACTCATGAACAACATTCATTGATTATTTCAAGGACATTGACGACGAGCTGATGGGTTTTGATATTTTCAAACATCATCAAGTCAAGGAAATCTTGGCCAATGATGGTTTGGTCGTTTTACAAAATTATCGTCGTCGTGGCATTGCAATGCAGATTCTTTTGGCGGCAAAACATATTTGCGCAGAAAATAAATTAGAAGTGGCAGCTACCGTTATTACATCTAACAGCGTCAATAAAATGGCAACCGATTTCGGTTTCGAGACCAATGCATGTGAGAGGTAGAGAAACTAATCATTTTCTGTCGTGTATCTACTAATTGCTTGCATTTATTTTCAGATTTTCGGATGATGTTGCAATGTGTTTGAGATCAATCAAATTTAAACGCAATTAATACTGAAGAATCATTATAAACTTTGTCAAAACAGACATTGACGGTGTCAATTTGATGAAGCACAATAATTTATTTGAATTGTTTAATTTTTCTGTTTATATTTGAAATTAAAAAAAAAATTTGACGAACGTTTCTGCTCAGAACATGTGTTTTGTTTAAGTATATTTCATTTCCACGTGTAGTTAGTTACATTTGTCCATGGCTTTGTAAATATGGAGTGATATTATATTTGGATCATTTGATGCAGTAATGTTGGAACTCATACATGGGCACAGTCGGCAGGCTTACACTCTCCAGCAAGTCACTTTCGAGTATCTTATTGAAACCTATACCATTTTTTTGTGCATAATTTGTGCGAATTTGTGCATAAATGGCTGATTCAGCTTTATATTTTGTGGTGAATTTCGGTTTTGGATGCAATTCAACATTTTTCTATGGCCAAAAAATCGGAAAATTTTTTTGTGCCATTTTTTTGTGCATAATTTGTGCATGCCAAATATGCCTTCGGATCGGTCGTACACTGCAAAAAATGCATCAAAATCGATTCGGCGTCAATTTCCCCACAACAATTCACCACTTTTTTTTTAAATAATTGCAAAAATAAAAAAAATTCTTTACCATTTTTTTGTGCATAACAAATCCACATCGCACCGAATTTGTGCATGCAGGGGTACTTCACACAATGAGCGGAAAATCGATTCGGATTAAGTTTCTTGAAATTTCTTGAATCCGGATCGATTTTCGCTCATTCTGTGATTGTAGATAATATTAGTGAAGTGGACCACTGAGCTACCCCTGCATGCACAAATTCGGTGCGATGTGAATTTGTTATGACTTCGGATCCGGAAAGGTGAGTCTTTTACCTTTCTAACGACGTATAAATCATTGTGGTACCTTATAGATGGCCAGAAAAATGTCCGATCGATGAAAAACTCAAAAACGGCCTCCCAAAAATATTCGACCCCAGACCAAAACCACTTACGCAACAAATTTTTTGAAACTGAGAAATTAGTTTGCTCAGTTTTCAGTCTACTTTCGAAAAAAAGTAATTTCACACAATTCAAAAGAAACTACGGACAGACATACAAACACCTCAACCGGCCAATTTTGAGGTTTTTGGCCATTTTTGGCCAATTGACCATATCTCGGCCACTTTTCAACCGATCATGATGATCTTTTTTTTAACATTATTTACGCACTCTCTAGATTCCGAATATGGCAAAAAAAAAATCGAAAAAATCATTTCGGTGGTCAAAAATCGAAAAAAATGATTTTTCAGCGATTTTTTCAAAACCTGGCGGCCAAATTTTGAAATTTTTCAAATTTTTTTGCGGATTCTTGATTTGGTGCCCGAGCACTACTAAAATATGCAAAAACCCCTTTACAAAATATACATATTTCTTATGTATGTGGGTATTGCGTCACTTGAGGGACTACCGTCCCCCGTGATGAAATTTTTAAAATAATAAATTTTTCGAACGGATTAACCGATTTCGACGTTTGAGGTATCGTTCGGAAGCTTTAGAATCTGAATATCGATGTTTCAGCGGTCAATGACCTCATATAGTGTCATCTATGGCCATAGAACTGAATTTAAACCCTTTTCTTGAAAGGACCATATTTTGAAGACAGGTGGACCGATTTTCAAACTTTTATATTTTTTCTTGATCTATGGCCCAAGGGCTTTCCAACCATACATCAACCGGGGCCAACGGCCTTCTAGGTCTGGATTTCGTATATTACGTGTATATATAGCGAGTTCGACTTTTCAATACACTACTCAGTGGGCAAAATTTTTCAAAGTAGTGTAAAATCGCAAAAAATTTCGGTGTATTTGCCCAATTTTGGTGTATTCAAGCAAAATTTGAATTATTTAACGTATTTTTACCATTTTTTTGGTGTAAATTTCGGTGTATTAAATACACTGCGATATTTAGTGTAAAAGAAACCTTGAAATTAAATTTTACAGGAAAAATATACACGAAATTTAAGTAGCGCAGTGCGTCACTATCATCTAGTGTAAATTAAACACGCATGGTATAAATACTGTAAATACTTAAATTATTGCAATATTGCTTATCTTTCAATATTTTCATGATCTGAGGGCAAAAAAATTGCTTTTTTGAAGTAAAAATGAAAAATGAGAAAAAATTGCAAATTTTCAAAAAAAAGTATTTTTATTAAATCGGCATAATATCAAAGGCGCATAAATTTTAGAGGGGGTAGTTTCAAATTTCAGTCGAAGAACTACCTTTCGTTTTAATTTTTCGGGCATAGAAACGACAAAAAATCCAAAATATTGTAGTCTTACAGAGGAAAAATTATTAAATTTGTTGACAAGAAAAATATACTTTTAACTTCTATCGAAAACTTGAAAATTTTACACCGTTCGTGAAAAAAATATACCGAAATTTTTTGCAATGTATTTTGGACAATGATTTTGGTGTAAAGTATTCATCTGTGGTGTAATGGTATACTATACACTATCAGTGTAAAATATACACCATAAAAGTAGTGTAAAACTTCCATACAAAAGTGTCGACATAAAAGTGTAAACGATAGACTAAAAAAAACGGTGTAACGCGTTATTTTAACGCGTTCAAATGCCCACTGAGTAATGTGGTTTCGTCACTCGCGCGAACTGCCGTCCGCTGTGATAAAATGGCAACGGACGTTGGATTTGAGCTTAATACAAGCCAGAGGTAGAGAAATTCATCATTTTCTGTCATGTATTTTTTAATTTTTCGCAATTATTTTCAGCTTTTCGGATGATGTCACAATGGCTTTAAATTTTAGTAAAAATAGCACATCATTTTGTATAAATCTTCTACATACACAGAAAGAAAAAATGTGGCATTTTTAATTCAATTTTGGTAGATTTAATATAAAATCAACCAACAACGAATTAAATTTACCGTTTTTGACATCTCTGAGGCATATTTTGCAAAAGTGACTATTTGTTGAATAAGTTTTACCAACGCTTCATTACATTTACCAACTTTGCGAAACCACAGATGACGCTAGCGCATGAATTTGGTGAATGTAATGAAGCAATTGGTAAAACTTTTTCAACTGATAGTCACTTTTGAAAAATATGCCTCAGAGATGTCAAAAATGGTAAATTTATTTCGTTGTTGGTTGATTTTATATTAAATATACCAAAATTGAATTAAAAATACCAAAAATTTTCTCTCTGTGTACTGGTTGAAAGCCTAGATATCTTTTATTACTTGCTCAGAATTAAAGGTTTTTTCACATTCAAATTTCAATTTGTAAAAATAAATCTCTGTGTATTTGACTACAATTCGGCTTGTTTTAATTCTCCTTTCATTAGAATCCATGTTGATCCATTTTCGGATGTTTTCATTGCTTCCACCATATTTTTGGCACATTGACTCACTCTGAAATTGAAATAAAAATATTCCACTTTAATCGCTTTGAATGCCATCAAGTTAATGACGTAGACGTGCTCTCATTAATACGAAAGTCACTTCAATCTACAAGCAAAATAACATACGTTTGCATGCTATGAGAATTCAGAATTTCGGGAATTTCATTAGCCACATTTTTGCCGTAAAATGTTGATTCCATATTTGATAATAAAGTGGTATCAGTAAATCCAGGGCATATCAGAATGAACTTAATACCAAGTTCTGCAGCCAACTCTTTTTGGGCCAAAGATCTTGTAAATGCCACCACACCATGTTTGCTGGCACAATACACAGGAATAAATCGCACTGGTCTTAGTCCAGCTGCTGATGCTATGTTCATTATCGTGCCGCCGTGCCCACCTTTACTAACACCCATATAATCGATTGCAGTCAAAGTACTATTAATTACACCTGTCTGCATTTACAGCGCAACCAAATGGAAATGCAATTAATTAAAATTGGAATTATTTTAAATTAGCAAAAAATAAAACGTACCAAATTGATATCAATAGTATCTTTGGGTCTTCTTTCATCAATAATTCCCGCACAATTCACCAATACATCGACATAACCGAATGATTTAACCACTTCTTTGAATGCACATTCAATTTCGGACCTATTGCGAACGTCCACTTTGTAAAATAGAACGGTTTTATTTGGAAACAAAGATTTTAGTTCGGAAATCGCTCTACTCGGATCCATTACATCAAAAATGGCAATTTTCTGTGGTGGAAAAAATATTTTTCAGGTTTTCTATCATTTTTCGAATTGAAATTTAATTTGAAAAAAAGAGGCACATTTCTTTTACCTCAACTCCAATGGAAAAGAGCTCCTTAACGAATTCCAGACCAATCCCGCCTACACTCGCTCCTCCAACTACCACAAAACTTTGATTTTCAAACGACATTTTTCAAATTAGGCGAAAAGTACTGAAGAAGGTTAAAAAATAAGGAAAAAAAATGGCAAAAATGTCTACAATAATTGATTTAGCACCTTTTCTAGCACCAGTATACTATATAATTGAGTCGCAGAAAAATGAAAATGATTTGATCACACATCGAAATAACAAAGATAGATAACCATGAAAGATAACAGTGATTTTACTATATTCCAAGATGTTTTTTACTCAATAAATATCATTGAACACGCCATTGTTTTTGGCATATTAAAACCTAGATTAAAACAGTTGGGATCTGAAGTGTTAGATTATGTCGATAAGATAAGAGTTTATCAATCGAATTCATTCATTCATTGAATCGTACTTGTTGCGATTGGAAAGTCAGATTTCTATAAACACACGTAAGAGACAACCTAATCGCAAATTTCTTTAACTATTGTACAACATATCGATATTTATTTTTTATTCATTCCAAATCAATTGCCTAACCCTATTCCGTAAATTTGTCAAATCTTATTACTTCAGCGATATTGCTCTGTAATTTCGATTCATTTATAAAAATTTCTCAATTATTTATTAAATCATGTATAATGCACACGCCAAGAGATTCAAATGAATCACAACTGAATACGTGATTGTATGTCATGCAATCGCTTTGTGGCATTGAATTAGTCGCTTAGTGCGTCCAATACCACATTTTGCGGCTGCCCCATGTGACCCGTGCACTTATTATTGTTGTTCACTGCAAAAAAAGACTCTGTGTAATCAAATTGAGCGTATGAAAATATATGATTTGGTTTCATTCATCTGTAAAGGTTAAGGTCATAATAATAATAATACAAAAACATTAATTGTTGATGTCTATATTTACTTGAACATTTATTATCAATTTTGGTTTTGTTTCTCTTTCCGGGTGCCAAAAAACGTAGTTTTTTCATACCACCATTGATATATATATTTAAATTTCGCTAAATATATGTACAGTGTACATAACAATGTGTGATTGCATCAATTCTGCAAAGAATGTATTTAATTGAATTTAAATAGAGAGGGAGAGAGAGAACAATTACAACCCGTACACCATTAAAGCATTGAGAATGATAGCTGTCATTAAAATAAAGTGATTTGGCTCGGCGTCATGAATTGGAATGTTACGCTCGGTGATGGTGGTGCTGTGGGGGGTTTATTTGGCATTATAGTCGGTGAATGCTTCGATAACATCTTCGAAGACCAATTCAGCTGGTTTTTCGCTTTTAACATGACGCACCAAATTTTGACGGTCGTAATGGTCAACGATTGGCATTGTTTCAGTGTAGAATACATTAAAACGTTTTTTCAACGAATCGACGTTGTCGTCAGTTCGACCGGTGCCACGGCCCAAGCAACGATCTATGCAAACCGATTCGGGACATTCGAAGAACAATACAAATTGTAGATTCACTTTTGATTCCATCTGCTTTATCCAGCCGTCCAGATTGTCTTGGTTACGCGGAAAACCATCGATCAAAAACTTGTTCTTTGTTGCATCCGCCTGAAAATATTGAACTTATTAGTACTGCTATAGACCATCAAATACAAAAAAAAATCGGATTTCTGCGGAGTAAATTAAAAATGTTACGCGTTTTTCAACAAATACTTTGTTGTTCAATAAGAGTCTTCAGAGATAAAAGCCAATTTTCGGATCCGTGAATTAAAATTTTTTTTTTTTTTACTTTTTTCATGTAAAAAACATGATTTTTCGCCAGAAGCAACAAAAATCACGTTTTTTTGCTACGCAAACTTAACCATCAGATTACTCAACTGGCTATTTTTAACAGCGACGCTGTTCACTGCTACTCGACCTTGAACTTTTTCATACACTGAACTTTGACGCCACATTTTATCCACATGTTTTTTTTGGAGCAAACTATATCAATTTTTATGATTTAATAATTCCACTTTATGAGAAAATAACTGAATCGAATGCTGTTTCATCGTTGTAGTGATATAAATATTTGTGAACAGCGTAACATTCCATTTTTATTCGATTCCATCAATGAACTAACCTGAATTTGTTCGTTCATCGCACGTTCCAGTAGCGAACATGTGATAGCTACCGGTATAATTTGTCCTTCTGCAATGTATTTTTCAATAATCTGCGCCAATTCGGATCCGGGACGATTTCGTTCGGCTCGCAATAAATCGCCAGCTGATAAATGCACGTAATTATATTCTTTCACAATGTTTGCACATTGCGTTCCTTTGCCTGAACCTGCGATTTTGATGTAAGATCATGAATTTGTTTATTATTGTGCAAGCATAACAATTGTCAAGATGTCACAATCATCTCCAATGTGACGATTTTTTTCATAAACGCAACGTGACGTTTTATTCAAAAGCCAATTATAATTAATATTCAAATTATTATACAAACCTGGAGCGCCCAGTACAAAAATAATTTTTGGCTTTTCCAATGTTTCACCGCTCATTTTTCCGCGTATTTGTTGGCTTGACCACGAACTTTTCTTCAAATTATCAGCGTAACGAAATTTTTGTTGTCTTAATTGCTGACCAGCAAAATTTCGAACTGATGTGGATAGAATACGTTGCAGAACTGTGTTCATTAACACAAAATCATCAGCGCAAACGCCAACCAACCAATTGTGTGAAGAAAAATCGAAGAATGACACACAATTACAAGTGTGATATAGCGGTAATTTGATTTGATAAATAAAACCGTAATTATGTCAGCTAACCATTCACTGGATTAGATAAAATAAACACAATTGTATTTGTTCAAGTGACACACTGTATTGTTTTGTAGGCAGAGCAAGAAAAATGTGAGACATACACTTTTTTGTTTGGTAGAATTTTTTTTTTTTTTCAACTCAATAGTGACAGAGCGAACCGCTACGAATGTGTGCATATAGTCAACAGCTGTCATGTAACTTATAAGATGTATGTATGCGTGTGTATGTTGATTGTACGGCTGTCATTGGAAAACTTAACGAAAACAAAGTACTCCCCCTTTTTGTTGTACACTGAGCGTGTATTGGTTCAAAGAAATTTGGGGAAAAAACGTTTTTTTTTTGTTTGATTCTTTACAGACATTATTTCAATTAGACAAAAGTTGAAAAAAAATGTGAAAAAAATCTTCAACGAGAATGAATTCCACATCGGTCCTTTGGCGCCATCTTTTGAAAATATGAAGCACTACTCACCTAATGTATGCATTTCGTTAAGAGCCAATCAATTTGTATTGTTGTCAAAGCGTTCAATGTATTTAGCCTCGAGTGACATTTGGAAATGCAAATAAGCTGAGTCAATTCTATATTGTTACAATCATTTTTCCTATGTGAACTAAAATTAAAATTAAAATAATAATAAATAAATTCGAAAGCTCGACGGAAAATTGTGAATTTCACGCAAGTATTGAATGGTGTTGTGTGAGTTACCATGAAATTTCAATTGAATCTCAAAATAAACTAGGTTTCAATTTATAAAATTATCATATTTTCTCATTTCCCTTCCACAGACGCAGTTGTTTATCTCATTGTGATAAGTACGTTGTACTGAATGGCACATAAGTTGAGCTAAAATTTCGCATGTAAAATATACCAAACTCGAAAATTAGTCGTTATCCACCACACCATGAATTTACTAACGCAATGCTGTGTGTTATTGTTGTTGCCATTGGTGCTATGTGATCGATTACAAGATAAAATGTACACACCAATATCCGGATCGATATGTTTTCGTCGATTGAATGCGACCCATTCGACGGGTTGTGGTTCGACATTGGGTGGTTCCGTGGGTGTGTTACACTTAATCCAAAGTCCAGCTGACTTTGAGTTTGTTTGGAATAAACCGCCGGCACCACCATACACCTTGCTCATGGCACCGTGGCTCTTCAATCGTGAGAATATTTTGAATATCACCGGCCGTGCCAAAGGCAACATTGCCGGTATCGTACTAATTGAGAATGGCACCAATTTGGCAAGTTACAGTCACGAATTAAAGTGTCCAAATCCAAATAGCGGACTTAAAAATCAAACATGTGATGCAAAACAAGCATGGAATCCATTTGGCACTGGGTTATTGCATGAAAATTTCCCATTTCCAATTATTTATGTAAAAGAACAGAATTACATAAAAAATTTAACAGATTGTTATCACAAATTCAATACATATGATGTAGAAAATCAGCACAATCGTCGTTTGTGTAGCATTCAAATCAAGTCATTCATGTCGGCCGCTGTTAATTCGGCTGTTTGTACGAGACGCACACGGTATATAAATAATATGAATCCACAGCGATACTGTGATCCATTGCAAAGTAAAAATGTGTATGCCACATTGTTTGAACGACCCAAAGAGTTAAAATCGGAGAATTTGATTTTGGTCGGGGCACGAATTGATACCACATCAATGTTCGATGGGATTGGACTTGGTGCTATGGATTCATTGGTGCCGGCCGTTACACTAATGAGCACCGCACATACACTCAACAAACTGCTAGCCGATCACATTACCGGGAAAAATTATAATGTAGTATTCATGCTCTTCAATGGTGAAGCATATGATTATATTGGATCGCAGCGTTTTGTGTATGATTTGGTGAATAATGCATTCCCATCGTCATCGAATAACACGATTAAACTAAGCGACATCAAACTATTTATCGACATTGGGTCGTTGGACAGTCAAAATTCAACAACCATTTATCAATTCGATAAATTTGATTTGGCCGATAAATTTGCCAGCTTATTTGATGCGACAATTAAACAATATAGTTTTAATTTTGAAGTAAATCGTAAGATGACAACAAATCTACCGCCAACATCGGCTCAATCATTTTTACGTGACGACAATAAATTTCCAGCTGTGATTCTCTATTCGGACAATAATAAAAATCGATTTTATCATTCCATCTACGATGCGGAACAGAATATTGACTTTGTCTATCAGAATACATCGCGGGATTTTACGACGCTGATCGATTTGACGGAGAAAACCACAATGGTACCATCCATTCAATTGGCCGTACGTAATGTGTCCACATCGTTGGCACATTCGTTGTATGAACTAGTAACGGGAGCAAGTTATACAGAACATTTTGGAGCCAATCCATATTTAATCGATGAAATGCTGTACTGCTATTTGGTATCGGCAAAATGTCCATTGTTTCAAGCAACAATAAAAGATGCTAACATGACCATTCCACCAATACCACCGAATCGATATATAAGCGTACAAAATCCAGTGTCGTACGAGACAGTGGGTTGGACGTTGCGAGTGCTTGGATTTTTAACCGGTCGACCAGTACCATCGGCGACGAAAGACAATTGCACCGTTTTTCCATTGGTGTGGGTTTCCGGTTTTAATCATACCGGCGAATGTCTACGAACCACACACGATCTTTCAAATGCACTAAGTCCAGCCTTTTCAATCGAAGACTATGATTGGAAATCGGGACGGTATTCTACATGGACTGAATCAACATGGAGCGAAATAAATGTTCGCATTTTCTTAAAACCGGCTGTGTCACAAGAGGCATTCACATTAGCCATTGGATTTGGTGTGATGCTGATTTCATTTATTTTGGTATTTATTATCAACACCAAATCAGATGTATTATTTGGTGAAAGCACCTCGTCGATTAACGTTCTCACCCTACCATCACAGTGCTAAGACTTTTCTTTTTTATAAGAGACAATTGTCTATACTAATATTAGGAACTTTTTTTTCCAACACATTACGACACAACAGGGTGTCCATTTGACATTTTAATTCAATAGTCCGATTTAATTGTAACAAAAACATTTGCATTTTTTTTTTCATTTTGAATTTTTTTTTCTCACCAGAATTAACCAAAACAATTCTATTTCCATTCATATAGACATTTAAGTGTAATTAAGATTAATTGAAATAATAATAAAAAAAATACATTTTAATTGTACAAAAAAATTGTGTGGAAAATGTGCGGGTTTTCTTTATTTATTCGACAAATTTGGTGATTTTAACAGTAAAAAAAAATTGGGCGTAATATTAATGCGCTTAATACGATCTAAAAGATTTGTTTTTGACTCTACGTGACTATTAGGTAATGTATTATTCTCTAGCTTAAAAGGGGGCAGCATCAAACTTAAAATACTATTCCAATTTTCGATATCTTTTATTGAATTTTGCTATTTTTTCTTCTTTTTTTTTAATTTTAAAATATAAAAAAACCATACAGAGTGGAAATCGACAATTTTACGCGATGATCAAACACCTTTGCCAGCATTCGTTCCACCGTTGTACATTCCATTTGATGGGTCGTAGGTGTGCAACTTTTTTCGCCAGATTTTTACCAAACCATCGAATGCACGGCGACTGTACTTTATGTTCTTTTGTGGTGTCCATGGATGTTCGGGCGTTCGCTTTTCTCTGTCATGAATAAAAACAACAATTATTAGAAACATTTCGTTGACACGTCTCTTTAATAGACGCTCTTCTCATTAACATGATATATTGGATTTTTTTAATCAATTTAAGGAATTTTCAGTGCAATTATTTATTTTGAGACAAATTCGCAAAATTACAACAAATTTAGTTCTTTGTTTTTGTCACTTTTTTCACGGTAATCTTCTTTTTTTATTTCATGGTGAGATTTTTTTTGGAAATATTCATATTTCTAATTGTGAAATTTAGTGGCATTATTTTTGAAATAGAAAAAAATTTAACAAAAAATTTTATTCCTAAAAAATGCGTATTTCCAAATTCTAATCTCACGCACGTCGTGACAACATTTTTTGTTGTTTAAAATTTTCTGATGCATTTTGAAAATTATTTCATATAGAATTAAGACCATTTTAGACAAGTTGAATATTTTTTTAATTAGTTGAAGAATTCAAAGGTCATTGGTTTCCAATCATGTGACTGATGAGAGATATCAAAAGGAAAAATTTGTAATTTTGAGAATTTATTTGTTTGAGATAAAAATTGAGACAAACTGAAGAAAAATATTTTTTCTTCGACATGAAAAAATTACTGCGATGCTGGTTATTAATTATTCGTTGAGAATAAAAATTATTTAACAGATCTTTGTTACAAAAATTAGATTTTTGCTGCATTTTCTATAAGCAGTTTTTAAAATGTTTGAAATCAGCTTCGATTTCAGTTACGCATGATATGGGTATATACGTAAAATTAATTGAATTGAAATTTGGATTTCCTTCAAGGAAATTGAGTCATTGACAAATGATAATTTCAATTTAAACTGTGACTGAATTTTTTTTACATTGTATAGGTAAATTTCTTTATATCATCGCAATATTTTAGTTTAAAAATATTCCTGAAAATCGTGTGAAAATTGTGTGTGTCACCATTGGTTTCAAGCAAAAACGTTGCCCTAGTAAAATTCCAAAAAAACAGACTTTTTATTAAAAAAAATGCAATTGAATTTAATTTCCCGATTAGTCCATGAAACTACTAATAATCTGTGAGAAATACCCTGATTTTACCATGAGAAATGATAAAAATAGCGTAATTTTGGGAATTTGTTTGTTTGTAAAAAAAAGTGAATAATAAAAAGTCAATGGTAGGCGCACAGGGTGAAATACATTTAAATAGAAAATATTCCCCAAAAAATTAAAATTCGATTTTTAAACGAATTAAAGGTGTTGTAGTGAATTTTAAAGACCTCCATGGTCGTGTATAATTTAATTTCCAGTAAAAACTTTCCTTGCGAATTCAAAATAGGAAATAAAATCTTGGTCAAATAAAAAGTGCAATGCTTACTTTGGTACTTGTTTGGAATACACATCGTATCCGATGGTATTTTTTCCATAATCAATTTGTTTCTGTCGGCGATCCAGTATCGATTCATCGGTTTCATATTCTCGTGTCCGTTTTTCATTCGAATCGGTCGATGATTGTGGCGATAGATCACGTTCGCGAACGTTGCTATCATCCGATGTAGGTGAGCCAGTCGGTCGCTTTGAATTGGATGACTTCATTGCTGATGTGGGTGACAAACAGCGTTTAAAGGATGTTTTAATTTTTTCCTCTTTCACCAAACGTTCAAATTTCGCCTCATTCGATGCTTCCAAAAATGTGACCAAAATTTCCCGATCGGCACTGGTCGAATGCTCACCGCCGCTTGTATCTTTTGATGGTGAAAACGAGTCATCGGCCGTATTAACACCGCCGTCGTCGCCACACAATGTTTCGGCTACCTTACGATTCTACTCAACGGAATAAATAAACAAACAATCAATTATGACTTTATTCCCATCATGTCTAAATAATTTGCATCAAAATTACGTTTGACGTTGAAAATTTGCACATTAGATTATTGATTGAACGGAATCAATGATAAAAAAATCCAAGCGAAAAAAAAAACGATAGAGAGAAGCGGTTTTTTAGCGACGGTACTTACTGTCATTTTTTCGTCGGCTCCTTCACACTCTTCGTACCACGATTTCTCGGCAAGGCTGCACACTGACTGTTCGAGTTCGCCTTCTTCAAGCGTTGTATTCATGAGTTTTGCCATTGTGTGTAATTTGCATACAATTACACTCTTCTCAATTGATTGTGGTATGGTTTTTTGGTGTCTGTAGGTGATTGTTGTCGTTGTTTCGTTTGCACTCGTCCTATCAAATGTGTAGATGTGTCTCGTTTTCGCCTATGTGCAACACAGTTCGTCCAATCTACGGTAACCGTACTTTTTTCTCACGATACAAACACACTTTCATCAGATTTTTTTTAGAAATAAAATCTTTGTCGTATTTTTACAAACAATTAAAATACGTTTCCTACATAAATTTAAGCGAAACAAACATTAAATATTAAACGTTTAATGCCGAACAAAGAGACGATCATAATAACACAGCAGTTTTGCACAACATTTATTTTGATTTAAACAATGTGACAGCTGTTTGGCGCGAAATCACACACATATAGAACTCAACTCGTTTGGTGTGAGGTGAAAAGAGGTGACTATGGTGTGGTGAGCTAAAGGCGAGTTTACACCATTTGATCGCGTTGCAAATTGATTGCTTTAATTCATTTAAAACGAGTAAAAGTAAAATTGAATTAGTTTTTGGTAAAAAAAAAAAACACTTTTCAATCGCAAAATATTCTTTTAACTCAGAATTTTGACTCAAAAATGTAAACTAAATTGAAACTTTCATTCCAATGACCAGTATTCCACAAGATACTCGGCAACTCCATT